GACCGATTCCTTTGAATCAACGCTTAGCTGAGTTGGATCATCAAACAATAGATTTCCTAGAGGGTCAAGCATATCCGATCGAGGATCAGCCGGAGGTTCTTTAGCATTTGGTCCTTCTAGCCCTCCTTCCAGAATTTCGGGCTCCACATCTACTTCTTTGTTTTCTTTTTCAGGAACATGTACCTGAAAATATCAAGTAATAACCACAAAATGACTGAACAGGCCGATTACTGTTCAGCAGTAGGTCAAACCATAGACTAACCGGTGGTGGAAGAATTTTCGGGAATTCTTTATCCCACAGCGGCCTTTCTATTTTCTGTTCTGCCTTGGTGTTTTCCTCGATATAACTCGACGACGTTGACGTTGGCTTTTTCTTCCGACGTCGAGAACAATTTACGAAGATCCATAAATGAATTAATGATATAATCGTCATCTGAAACGAAACAGTCGCAGTCGTAGAACTCGGTTACCCTTTTAGCGACTGCTACATTTAGCCCGCGTGCGCACGCGACTTGTTCGGGTGATATCGCTGCAGTGTTGCGTACGCGACGCGACTGCGAAGCTATAACCATTTTGCCTCCTGTAATCATCTCTGTGACCTTTTAACAGATATATTGAAACATTTCCATTATTCAGAGACACTCGAGTCACTAAGCTGACTAGGTATTGGTAAAAGAGGGTAGACGTAGTGTGGGTGCCTAAACTAGTCACCTCTATCCCACCTGGGACGTCCCCTTCAAACTCTGTGTATTCCATTGCTAAGAAGATTCTGGATCCGGGTGACAGTAGAGGAATACTGCGGTCCAGGAATCGCACTTCTCTCACTCACAATCAGTCTACCCTTACATCTGCAATGATCTCGTATTGAACTGAAGGCTCACCTTACTTACGATGTAACACAATGTATTCATCTTAAACGACCACTCAGAAACAATGATATACTAAGAACTGACCAGGGAGTCTCCAGAACCTATATCGTTGTTTGTCTATTTATCAGACCGCTTAACAGTATCCCGTGTACGCATGGAAGATTAGAGAATTTGCAACACAAAAACATACATATCGATTGATGCGCGAACTGTCCTCTGCATCTCTAACTGGGCGCTAGAGCGCAGAGAACGATGGCAAGCCAAATTTGCTGGTCTGCAGTGGTGCTCATGATCCGTTCTTTGCCAGGGGAGTGGACCTTTTTGGCCCAGCCCAAGGAGAGTAGGAACGTCGGTGTAGGTGAGGTGCTGACTTCAAGCAAGAAACGCAGACAAGAGCGCGAAAACACGTGGAGATGTGCCGCAACGTGTAAAATCCCATTTGTGCCAGTTTTCTTCCCGTTCCCCGCCACGTAACCAAATTTTCCCTCCTATTAGTCTTTCGCATCGTCCGGGCCTTGCCGCTAGAGAAATACAGCGTCTCTGATATGCGCAGCGGTGCGTGCGGCTCGTCCACCCTATCGATCGATAATCATGTAGCTTGATTTTGAACTCTCTCATTTTCCCGTGCATCACGGTGTATTAACACAGTCTTTCAGTCAAGGTCGACTATGAAAAGTGCTTCATTCCCCGGACACTAACTACTGAATTTCCCACACAGTAAAAAGATACGACCGGACCCAAAGTCCAATCGAAACAACATTCAGAGAAGTAAGATTCTTTACTGCATGTAATACCTCCAGTTTACAGCACAGAGCAGCTCCCATACTCACAAACCGCTAGCAATCTGTGTAGGAACTTCGCTCACTTCGAAGTTAGACGTCATTTTTAATGCGCTGCGTGCAATCACGGAGGCTGCGCCAAGGCACGACTGTTGTTTTGAAAGATTTTGCGCAATTTGCGACATTTATGGTCACTTTCTGTTCTTTTAAAATTTTTTTGATTATTTCTTGCATTTTTCTATTCGGTTTCGGTTTATCGCTTTTGTTTTATCCACTGTAACTTCTTCGTGCCATGCGTTCTATATATGTTTAGCTACTGTGCAGAATGGGCTGGAAAGAAATAGAAGCAAAGAAACTCGAAGGCAAACGTGTTCTGGTCGTAGGCGCCGGTGGGATAGGATGTGAATTGCTGAAAAATCTTGCACTTACTGGCTATCAAGATATTCATGTCGTACGTGGTTAATCAATTAGTGTTTATTTCGTTCCTTTCCTTTCATTGCTGCTTATTTGTTTTTTTGGGGCTTTGCCTGAGGCCTCTTGAGTTTTACTCATTAAATGCAAGCTCAGATTGACATGGATACCATAGATGTTAGTAATCTGAATCGTCAATTTCTATTCCGCCGTGAACATGTCGGCCGATCGAAGGCTGAAGTCGCTTCGGAGGCTATTCGTCAGATGCGCCCTGACATCAAAATAACATACGATCTCGACAGCATTTTAAGGTAGGCCAGCTGCAAAACAGTTAGAAGTTAATTTTTCCCTCATGTGATAAAGCATCATTTTCAAACCTATTCTTTTCTACTACTAGTGGAAGAATAGGTAGCGATTCTTTTCTTGCTCCTATCAGTAGGTCTTCAACATAATGGCTCATCCCTTTGTTTATGTTTCGTTTTTTCAGTTCGAAATTTAACTTGCCATTCTACCAACAGTTCTCCTTGGTCCTAAATGCACTCGATAACAGAGGTATAAATCTTAATGCAATTTTCTATCTCTTTCTTTTCTGCCTCAGTTGATCATTTCATCTGATTTTGTCCGTTTAGCGGCTAGAAATCATGTGAATAGGATGTGTTTGGCTGCCAAAATCCCTCTCATTGAAAGTGGTTCTGCAGGATACCTAGGACAGGTAAACTTTTTCGATTATATGTGGATATAGAAGTTGCTGAAGCAATTAAGGGTGATTTTCTCTGAATTAGGGTTTAACTCTGATATTTGATTCGATTCTGATAGCCATTTTGGTTTTTTCATTTTGAGATACGTTTTCAAAGTTTCTAGGTGAGACCTATTTTGCGTGATCGTACTGAGTGCTATGAATGCCTGCCAAAACCTGCACAAGACAAGACCTTCCCCGGATGTACGATCCGCAACACACCAAGCGAGCATATCCATTGCACAGTGTGGTCAAAACACGCATTCAAGTAGGCTTCCATCTTCATCTTCTTATATTGTGCTCATAATAGGTAATGAAACTTCATGGTTTATTTACAGTCAGCTATTCGGCGAGCTTGACATTGATGACGATATATCGCCTGATATAACCGATAAAGATGCAACAACCGGAGACAACAGTTCTGAAGGCGAATCTGGGGCTCCTGAAGAGCATACCAAAGGTAGTGACGGTATGAATGGCGTAGATTTGTCCAACGGTAGCAACGGCAATTCTATGGATCCCTCGAGCGCACCAATGCCAATCAGTACTCGTGCTTGGGCGGAAAATGTGAATTACGATCCTGAAAAAATCTTTGATAAGGTATGTTTATAGATTTCACATTCTACGAATGGTGCACCGAGTACATTTGGCGATTTCAGCTGTTTTATGACGATATCAATTACCTTCTTCTCATGCGAAATCTCTGGCGTGAACGTCGTCCTCCTACTCCGCTTCGAAGAGCTGAAGCCACCGCAGCGAGTGCATCGTCATCAGCCAGTGGCACCGCAGACGATGCCAATAAGGTATGTGAGAAGTTTACATCATCACTTCTTCCTCCCTGCACACACACTTTGGGAGTGAGTCAACCAACAGTACCACCAGTTTCGGGGCAGTGCAAGCTTTTCCAGCCATATTTGGAATAAATTTCGTTTTAAATTAGTTATTCATGTCCTGAGTTCATTTTGGTAATAACATTACTAATTTATGGCTCCCATTGGTTACGTTTGGTCTACTTAATGAACTGTACTTAACAGTTCCTGGTGTTGGTCAGAGAAGAAGGTGTGGCTGTGGCAAATGTTGGATTAAAAATGTCACTAGAATCTCTCTTTCAGTGATCAGTGTTTCTATAAGGAATCTCAATACTTCTCAGTTGAGTGACTGATATTACATTTCAGATCTGGTCTTTAGCGGAATGCGCAGACGTGTTCTGCGAATGTGTAGCAACTCTTAGTAGGCGTAAGAGCGCCAGCGAAGAGAAAATCCTACATTGGGATAAAGACGATGATGTTGCAATGCGCTTTGTGGCTGCTTGCGCGAACATCCGCGCGACCATTTTTGGAATCCCTTGCAAATCTCTATTCGAAGTCAAATGTAAGTTTCGTTGTTTCGAAGATTTGTTTTAGGGTTTTTTAAACAAATTATTTAAGCTATGGCTGGAAACATTATACCTGCCATCGCCACGACAAATGCAATCGTTGCTGGAATGATGGTTGTGGAAGCGGGAAAAATCCTCTCTGGAGAATTCGATAAGTTGAGAGTCGTATTTATAAGTCTCAAGCCAAATCCGAGAGGAAAGGTAAAGATGGAAATTCTTCACTTCCAACAGTTCCTCTTTTTTTGTCATTATGAAGGCGTTTTGTAATTTTTCCCAATTTTGTTGAATTGCGTTCAGATACTTGTCGACCAAGTTCCTTTCGAGCCGAATCCGAATTGCTTTGTTTGTTCGGAAAAGCGCGAGTGTCATGTGCGCCTTAATCCGTCTCAGATGACCGTCAAAGCTCTTCAGGATAAAGTTAGTCGTCACACCTAAAAATCAACAGTGTTGTCCTTCTTCAGTGTTTTCTACCTACCTTTCACATTTTCAGGTCTTGAAAGGGGCACTGAATATGGTTGCGCCAGATGTGATGGAGGCAACCACGTCTCGCATCATCTTAAGTAGTGAAGAGGGCGAAACTACTCGTTAGTCAATTTTTTTTCTTGTTATTAGTCATTCATTTATCACATTCCCGTATTGCGATTGCATCTATCAACCACACCCTAGTCGTTTTTGGAAAAGTCAGGGTGTGGTTGATAATTTTTTGAGAAATCAAACATCTTTTGTTTCTGATCAATCTCACGGAAGTGTCAGTGAACACGGTAAAGATGCTGTAAGAAGTTAATTGACGTAAATCATTGAGTAAGGAATTGGCTCGCATCTTAGCGTGATATTGCTGAAAGTCAAGGTTGTTCGCTAGTCATGAGCTAGGTAGTTTGCAGATCTCGAGCCTAAAACTCTAGAGGAACTCTCTATTGGGAACGGTGCCATGCTTACGTGTGACGATTTCCTGCAGAGACTTGAGCTCAGGGTGATTATTACTGAGAGCAAAACAATGAAAGCAGATGAATTCGAGGTATGCCAGGATGGTTAGCTCAGGGAACATTCTTTTTTGGTCATTTTTTGCAGCATTAGAGGTTTACCTAGCCATAATTCAGATAGTGCTAGATAGCGGAGAAGTGAAACCCGATGTGGACGAATCGCGAAAGAGAAAAAGCACAGCACCTCCGGATGAGTTGGATGAACAGAATGCGGCTAAGCGTCCGAAGATTTGATTCACATGTAAAGTTTGAAATAAACTTCATTAATGTTCGGTTTTTACTCAACTGTTTGGAATTTAATTGTTTCGTCTTTTTTTCTTCCCTTTTTTCCTGAAAAAGCCTTAAGGTTTTCGTATGAGGTTCTTATATGTTGAACATTGAACTATGCCGCTTTCAGAAATGTCTACCTGTGTCGTATGTGCGTTGGAACAATGTTATCTCAATACCAAGAACTTCATTATGTTGAGTTTTTTCACTGATTACATTGCTTTTTAATTTTCGATTTTTCTTAGTTTTTCGATGCTTTTGATGTGCCGGAGGATGAACAAGACCATGTATGCTCTCCTCTCTTATTTGTGAAAATTATGAACAACTACTACTTCGAGATGAAAAAGTTTTTTAAAGAAGCTATTTTTACTATTAGTGAAACTGTTGATATGAGGCACGCCATAAAGATAGGTCAACCTATCTTCATGGATATGATTGTCAAAAACTTGAGCATTTAGGAACCAAGGCTGAACGAGAATTACAGATATTTGATGAGCGTTCCCTACTATTTTTCATTTTTTTTTCTCCCTAGGTGAAGATTTCGAATGCGTCCGCGCTAATGAAGATGCGAATCTTTTCATGAGTATCCTACCCATTTTTGATTTCTGTCCCCATCTATATGTTAACTCTCAAAAATGAACCAAATAAGCGGAAGTTAACCCTTAAAACCCTATTTTCAATTCCCTTAATCTTTTCTACGTTTTCTACCGACATATTTTTCTTCCCAGTCACTTGCGTAGATGGCTGTACCCACAGAAGCTCTGCTTAGGAATTCTTTGGTTATGTTACAATTATTTCCTTTTCAGATATGTACCCTGAGATGTTCCTCTCGATCTTCCGGTATTCGTTATGTGTTGTGAACTGTTGCATTAAAGATTGTTCTCATTTTGTATTAAGTGTTTTTTATTATGAACATATTGTTAATAAAAAATTGGTAATTTCGTGGAGTGCACAGCTAGCCAGGAGAACATCGTGCGAGCGGGTTTTTTTTACGAGAGTGAGAAATGATAAAAAAAGGGTTCTATTTTTCTTTATGATTCTGGAATTGCAAGGGAAGGATCAGAAAGTGAGCAGAAGAGGCGTGGTTGTGGTCACCCATTATCACAAAAGTTCTAAATTCTTGAAACGGTTAATATCTTGAGGTATTGGCACTGGTAGGGTACGGGAAGTATCACTTGGTATCGGCTACAATAGCCCATCTACCGTTCACAAGTATATATGCAAATCAATGCAGGTTTTCAGCGGAAATATCCTTGGGAGATAGCGGGGAGGTCGAAAATTGTATAGGATGCGATCTGCTCCGTGTATTCAGTGGTTTCCACTTGTAAAGAGCTTAATCGGTACATGGGGTAGCATGCATAGACCATGGTCAGTTCCTTATCATTCAGAAAACGTGGAAACTTCGAAATGGGAACAGATCGATAATAACGAGTAGGATGATTTTTGTTAATGCCTTTCAATGATCGGTGAGTTATTTTCCACTAGTTTCCTACCGAACGGTTCACTTCCTTCCTGAAATCACTGTGTATATATTGATTGAATCTACCAAAGTAATGGGTACATATGAATACAAACTTCCTGACGAGCAACTCAATACACTCGTTTTTCAGTGAAAATTCAACCCGAAACACGCAAATGCATGGCCCCAGAACCACTCAATCAGGTCAGTTTAGATGGACTCGACAAAAATGGTTTCCATTCTGTGAAAATACCACATCGGCACGGAATCGTCGCCCTTACTTCTACCGTACTCCACCAGAGACTTGGTACAGGAATGGCTGTTCTGACATTATTTTCTATCTCTGGGCAGTCAGAAAAATGGGAAGCTAAAGTTTTAGTTTTATGTTCAACGACATTGGACTTTCCTATTTTATGCATCTTTACTGGGGCTACGCATAGACTCTGCGCCTTTTTTGGAGTTTTTTGGTTAGACCAATCGATCATCTTTGCATTTGGTAAAATGAGAGCAAATTTTTTTATCACCTGAAATCCCCCTTTTGTTTTCTAACTGAGTTAAATCTTATTTAGGTCCGAGTTTTTTACAATATGTAGGGCCTCCCTTTCTGAAATGTACAAGAAAAAGCCCAGGTGAGACATTTCTCATTGATTGATGGTATTGCTTTCAAATTTCTCCATCAGGTGATTCCGCTTTTTCTGAATTACGGTGGAAAGAGAGTAATCACATGGGTGGCCTGGTTTATACTGCTGAGATATTTCCCTTTCAAAGGCAGTTTCTTTCTACACAATAGTGTCACTTATAAATCGGATGCCTTACATTTACGGCTGAACTTCATGTTACTTCTTTACGGCTTTACAATATCAGAGCTTAATTGTTTAGTAGTCACGGCTTCTGACGCTCCTGCCGTCGATCGAACCTCTCGTGTGCGATTAATCTTAGAATCATTAAAGGTAAACTCATTAAGAGAAAGTTACTTCCAGAAGATATCCTGATATCGTTCAATTCTTGTAAACTATCTACCAGTCACACCTGAATTCAAAATTGGGCATTAAATTGGGTTCTTCTGCTGACTCTTCCATTTTAGCATGTTCCGTTGTCATCCCTGCCTTTTGGAGAGGGCAACGTGGAGTTCTGCCAGTTGCAGTCTAAGCCCACCATTTTTTTATTAACGTCTTCAATCGGAACTCAATAAAACGTTAAATCCCCAAACACCAGTTTTCGCCATGCTCTCTTCTTCTCTTTAAAATGGTAAAGGCTTTCGAGAACGTCCCTCTATAGAGGGTTTGACAGTGGGAACAGCCGGTCTACATACTTCCATCTGATATCAATTATTCAGTTCACGAAAGGGTGACAGGCCTCAGCTCCTCCGAAGGGGTGAAAAACTGAGTAGACTGGCATTATGTCTGTATGACTGTGATTTGGAGATTGCGCGAGTATCATTACAAGAAAAATCACTATCTGCCTCTTTTCCCAGCGCTTCTTGTCTCCATCCTTATACTATAGCGTTGAAACCATATCAATGGGTTTTCGATCGTTGCCCGTAGATGTCTTTGTTGATGCATAGACATCGATGGCAGAGCCATTCCTTGGAAAATGAACTATGGTTGCGTACTAGAACAGTGAGAAACACGTTTTCCATTGTATAGGACAACAACGATGATCGGTTGGAATTATGCCAACGATGAACAGTAGCTAGGCCCTTAAAGATTGCTGTAAAATATTTATTACTGGCGACGTTTTTCACCTTTCCTTTTTTGATCGACTGGTCTTAATGCCTCTATGTATTCTATTCTCAGCTTTCCGACTTCTTTTGCCACATTTAAGCTCCTTTCACTCAAACGCCTAGCCCTTCTCAGGTGTATGCTCCTCAAAATGAGCATCGGGCTCTGTTACAGTACGATCTGAGGAACACCGCATAGTTAGGCAGTTACAAGCTTTTTTCGATAAAACCGGTAACCATTGGAAGGTATGTTGCAATGGGTGGTATTCCATCATTCCCGCTGAACATGTGTACCGTTCAATGGTGGTGGGGGAATTGAAGAAATGGTTTCCGAAACTGGTCTATGCACTTCTATTGACTCTAACCATACACCGGTCGTTATCATCATTGAAATAGTTGCGTTGTCATGGACATCTGTCGAAGGAATCATCAAACTCTTCTCCAAAATAATTATTGCAATCCTATGCCCCAAATAGTCCACCCAAATTAGATTTACCCAGTAAATAGCGTTGTT